TGGTGCTAAGGATGGAACCCAGGCTTACATATGCTAGGCAAGCACTGTACCATTAAGCTATTTGCCTGCCCTTGACATGTTGACTCTCCTGTGTCAATCCAATTGCAAGCTACACAGCAAGGCCTGGCTCAGAGAAACAATTCCCAAACTGTGAAAACAGTTTGGCCACAGCCGCACCAGAGAGATTGCTATTGACTGAGTGCCACATCAATGGACAAATGTCATGACCTGGTATGAGGGCTGGGGGACAGAAATCTGTTCTGAAGGACAGCCTAATGGGCAATAAACCTTCTACCAACGTCAGCCGTTTCTGTGGAGGGCCACCTTTTCACCCTCTCCATCAAATGATTCTTGCACAGTGCAGAAGCAAACTATTTTTGTCACTTCCCTATCTAATACTGGCACACAGTAGGTTCTAGAGGATGCTAATTCTCCCCTGCCCCTCCCCCTTTCCATTCACATAAACCGGATCACATCTGCTGAGTAGAAACTGGCCCCCACCCTCAGACAAAAATGAGACAGGAGGCCAATGGAGGTGATCCTATTTTGGACAGTCATCAGCTTTTTAACTTTTTCTCAAGTTTTCCAGAGCGACAGGGTCGGTCCCTTTCCTGGCCTGCAGGAGAGGCCAGTGGCTCCCAAGTCAGACGTTTCTATTTTCAGCTCCCCAAGTCCAGAGAGCAGTCACCTCCCTCAATGAAGGCCAGGCAGCCAACCCGCCAGCAGCTCTGGGCCTGTGGCTTCTCTGCGTTTCTATTTCCATAAATTTACATCAAATTTGTGCTGAATCATACCCTCACTCCCCACCCGAAGAAATGAAACACATTATCAGTAAGTTCAACAAATTTGAATAATTTGAGCGCCAAGTGACTTTGCTTGACTTTTCCACTTAACTCCTTCCGTGGGCCTGGGCGGGGCTTCATCCACTTTCCACCACCGCCTGGGGTTGAATTTTCCCCTGAGTCCAAGGTCTTTACTTGCGGGCCCAGCCTCTCCCTCTTCCTCTCATCAGGTGCGAAGGCCCTGCCTCTCCCGCTGTGTCTGGCTTCCTACCGCCCCCCCCAGCCCCAGCCCCCTACTTCCTGGCATTTCTCTTTTCCTCCTGGCCCCTGGACCTCCTTCTCCTAACCTCGGGGTCTGGGAGCCGCTCTTCGGCCTCCGCCCCTCCCCTTCGCTGCCTCCCGCCACGCCCAAGCCGATCCTGCCCAGCCGTGATGACAGTTGCGGTCCCCAGCCTGTCAGGCGGCCATCAGCCCCACTCAGTCACCCGGAGGACGTCGGCGCTGTTCAGCTGGAAGTGGAACCTCCTTCCACCCCCAGCTGCCGGGCTGATTGGCAGCCAGCGGGGCTGGAGGAGGACAGCCTGGGCAGGGTTGCTGCTGGGCAGGAAGGGCCTAGTGGCAGAGGCAGGGAGGCCCCGGAACTCCGTGGCTAATATACAGGCCTTGCCTAGAATGAAGAAGCAGGCGAATCCTCTCTAACCCTCTGCATCCCTCCCGGACCCTCTGCGGCCAGGCTGCTGGCCGCCTCGGGGGAAATGATGGATGAAGTCCCACACAGTGCTCCTAGACAGAAGCCTGGGAGTCTTTTTTTTTTTTTTTCACAGAACCGAGGCCACTGGCCCTGTGGACCTCATGTCTCAAGGCTCTGCAGGAAGCCCAGTTACAGTGAACACCCGGCCCGGCCATTCCCAGGTTCCAGCCAAAATCAAGAGCAAAGGAAGTTAGCTTTGTTTTGTTGTGTTTTTCCTCCCTAGCAGGACCTGCCAAAATGAACCTCCTTGACAAGAACAAGAGCCAGGAACAGTGAAGCCTTGTAGAGCTAATTAAACCCATGTACACATGCTTATAACCCACAGCCATTAAGAATCATTTTCTTCCCAAATTGGGTTTCTTAATTCAGGAAGAAGAAAAGGCACTGGGTAAAGAACTGGCTGTGGATATTGTCTCAACTGTTCAGAAGGGGCGGGGACAGTATCTCCCATGGAGATCTGCCTCCTTTCATTTAATAAGAACTCTGACAGGTGGCCAGAATCCAAACTGAAAATTCTGTGTGGGGAAGTGTCAAAAGCTCTGCTTTCTCTGTGTCTGAAGCTGCTGGGACAGGGCCAGAAGATCTTGCTTATCAGCAGAGAACTCATACTGAGGGACTTAAGTCTCTAACCCTCAGCTCAAGGCGTCTTTTCTGTCTCAAGCTCCCCACAGTTCTTTTTTTGTTATGTTTTTGTCCGTATGCACTGATTGAATTTCCTTAAACTATCCTGGAGTTTCCATATCTAAATCACTCGCTGACTTTTAAAAGTAAGAAGTGTCATTCAAAAGCATCTAAATACTCTTGTCGCCATAGGGTCGTAGAAATAAATCAATAAAACTGGCCCTGGGGCTATGAATACATATGGAGAAATTGGGTCCCCAGAGATGATTTTTCAGAAAACTAAAGTGATGTGAAAATAGAGGCTAAAGCCAGTGTTTTAATATTTTTACCAGGGTGTCAAGTTAAATAAGACTGTCTAGCCCAGTGCACATGGACACTGGGTAGGACATTTTAGGGACTGCTTTTGTCCAAGGTAAAGATAGTTGGTGAGTGATTTTATTTTTTCTTTGAAAACAGTTAACCACAATATAATTAGCTTTGTTTGTACCAGCCTGGGCTACTGTTGATGAGGTGTCTAGAGGCCTTCTGCTATAGGTGCCTAGAAGCTTAAAGTGGATTTAATTATTATTATTACTCAATGTCAGGCCACATAAATGAAAAGAGATAAAAAAAGAATTGCTTGCAGCTCCTCTGCCTTGATCTGTGATTTCATCACATCTTATCAGCTGAGCAGGTGGGAGCTGGCACTGGAGGCTTAAAACCTCCAGGAAAACCCAGGAGCTCAGGATGCTGTTTCAACTGCATGGAAGGTTTCTCAATATGCTGTGTGTCGGGGGTGTGTGGAGGGGTAGCATAGAGACCTGCCCACTTCCATTTCCTCCCGATTTTACTTTTAAATACCTTGCTAACTGTCTGAGCCACAGAGAGTGACTTAAAGGTTCATGGTTTCCAAATGAAGACTCCTTGGCTCTTAGCAGTTCATTGATTGTCTGTCCTGCTGCCTAATACACCAGTGACAGCTCCATACAGCAACAGAGCTGAAAGACTCAGCTAAACCAGGTACCCAGGAGGGGCTTTCCCACCTGAAGGCCAGCAGGGAGCAAGGCAGATGGCCCAGTTCTGCCCATTCTCCCTACAGTCTGTTTCATCGACAGGTCAGAACGGAAGCAGATGGTTTGCTAGAGGGCAATATATTGGCAGACAGTACCTTGCTTTTTAGGTAGGAGACAGGCTTTAGGAGCAAGTGTTTGGCACTGAATTAATTAACCCTAGGTGTTCCATTGAGAGATGGATGACCTCTTTCCACCTCCTTAGATTGCAAAGGAGCTAGGTGGCCTGGAATGGTCAGAAGACTTAGCTGTACACCATCCATTTCCTTTTTCTCTTGTTATCTAGAGCATTAGTTTGCAAACCCTCAGTGTTCTTGACCTTCCCCAGGATGAGAACAGGTAGGTCCTTCTCCTACCCCCTGGCCTGTCAGAGTCTATTGTAGAAGCTCTGATTCTAGGCACAGTTGCTTCTTTAAGGGATACAAGGGTGAGTTCAGCCATCCAGGCCCTTCATCAATAGTGCCATCACCAGTTATCTGCTGATATATACAAGACAGGCCCAAAATATGGTGGCTTAAGTAACTGATTTACTACATGAGCCTGTGGGTCAGCAAATTGGGCAAGGCTCAGCTGGGCAGTTCTACTATCCTCAGCTGGGCTCACCCATGTACCTGTGCTCAGTTGGGAACCTCATTTACACATGATGTTTAGTTGGCAGTTGGCTCTTGGTTGCCTGGGAGTCAGTCCTGTGACATCCACTAAGTCATTCTGAACTTCTTTCCATGAAGGTGATCATGGATTCCCAGGAGCACTATACAAGACTAAGTTTCACCTAAGTGCTTAATGACTTTTATTTTATAATGCAAACATTGCTTTGGTCTAAGGGAGTCACAGGACTGAGTTTAGAGTTAGCGGTAATGGAAGGGACTGGAGGGACCGCCATCTTGCAGTCTGCCATTCCAAGTGAAAAGGCTAAGCACAAAGCTGGGAATTTTCCACTCTAAGGCATGGTAGTTCATTTTCAGGTTTTATAGCATGCAGATCCTAGTTGACCCTCATGTGATAAAAGGGCTGCCATCTATCTCACAGGATTGATCCCCGATCAATGGGTTCTGTAAATTGTAAATACACATTATCTATGAGGGCTTCCATAGCTGTAAGGTGCATTCACAACCTCTCAGACTCCTGCTAGTTTGCAGTTTTCCCCAAGCATGGAAAGCTTTCTGTTGGTGATTTATGAGGGGAATCATATGGCACTGACGTCAGAATCCCCTCCCTCTGGAATTCTCTACTAGTCTTCCCTCTATTTAAAAAATATTTTATTATTTTTTATTTTATGTGTTTGAGGGTATTGCTTCCATGTATGTAAATACTACCCCCCCTGCCAGTCATGCAATGCCTGCGGAGGTCAGAAGAGGGCGTCAGATCCCCTGGAACTGGAGTTGGAAGGTTGTTAGCTTCCATGTGGGTGCTGGGAACCAAATCCAGGTTCTCTGCAAGAGCAGCCAGTGTTCTTAACTGCTGAGCCATCTCTCCAGCCCCCTAGTCTTCCCTCTTAAGAGTCTCAGTTTGATGGCATTATTTTTAACACCTCTCTTCACTCATGCTAAGTCCAAACCTCAGAGCTTTGGGTCCTATTCAGAATGTAAGCTTTTATTCTCAATTTTTGCATTTGCTTTCTCTTTATGACAGCTGATAAAAAAGCAAATCTTGGCAGTTTTAAAAACAGTTTTAACATATAGTATATGTGGTTCAGGTACTCAAGAAAAATGTTTGGCATCTACTAGGTGCCAAAATTGCTCCAAACCTTCCCCAATTAAAACAATAACGAAACAAACAACAACAACACCGTGCCCTGAAGGATCTTTTATTCCCGCGGTGAAAGCCTGACCACGGCAGGGGGATGACTGGAATGGGGGGACTTGGCTTCTTGGCGGGGTGGCACCCACCTGTCCCCCAAAGGCCGGGGAATGCTGGGGTCTGGAGTCGCGTGCCGTCTCCCTTCTCTAGGAGCCCCGATCCGGGATCCCAGGGCGAGGTTGTAGGCCACCGGGCCGGGCTGAGCTGCTGCCAGGCCGGCTCCTCCTCCCCTTCCTCCGCGGAGGCTGACGTGGAGGCAGCGGCGCGGGCGACCGCGGGAGGCGGTGGAGCGGCGGCTGGGAGGCGCGGGGCCCACTCCGGGCTGCGCGGAGCCGGGGTGGCGGCGGTGGCAGGAGCAGCGGGAGGAGGGAGGCGTCCGTGCAGCCGGCCCGCGCTCGCAGGAGGCGGCCATGGATGGCGACAGGACCGAGAGCGACTGGCAGGGGCTGGTGAGCGAGGTGAGGCCGAGGCGCCGGCAGGGCGGGTGGGGCCTCCGGAGCCGCCGCAGCCGGGCTCGCAGTCCCCGGGAGGCCAGCGGGGCAGGGACCCGCGAGGACGCGCACCAGGTGGCCGCAGTGCGAGCTGCAGGTGCGTGGTCCTCCCCGCAGTTTCCGGTCTGCGGGGGCGCCACGGTCTCCCCGCGCCATCTGGTGCCAGGCTCTGGGGAAGGTTTTGGCCTAGGACAGCCAGGTTTTGGCCTAGGATAGGAGAGGCATAGGTTCTGGGAGGGGAAAGAGCCAAGCCCCACCTGCAGGGCAGGTCACCACTGTTTTGGAGGCAAGTGACTAGATGATGCCTGGTGAAACGGAAAGGTGTCGCCCGGGGGCAATCTGGGCCCTTGGGTAACCCTGGGCCAGGTGGCATAATCTGCAGCCCCGTGGTTTTGAGTGAGAGAGTTGGGCATCCTCTAACCGTAGGTCTATCCACTCATTCCATTCACTCAACCCCTGTTTCCAGCACCTACTGTGTGTAAGGGGGGTAGCCATTTCTGGAAGGAATGAGACAGGTGCAGAAGTGATTCGACTGGTGTCCTCCCTAGAGATTGTGCCAGGAACACGTCCAGGGTGCACTTTCAGATTCCTGGACTACCTCCTCTTCAATCCAGCCTGAGTTGGCTGGCTTCTTCAGGTGAGAGGGACACTGATCTCCCTCATCTCCCCCAAGTAAGTTGCTCTACATCACCACCATCTGTGCTGTCAGTTCCTCAAGTTACCAAGTCAGTCCATGCCCAGTGTGTGTAGAGCATTGAATTCTGGGTATAGATTCTGCTGTAGTTTAGTTTGCTTAGCATTGGTTTAGCAATTGAAAACTTTTCTGACTACCTGTAAGATGATATACTGTGTTACAGCCCATCTGCGTCCAACTGTCAAGCTTTAAGTCAAGGGACAGATCTACTGGGGTTCTTGTCTCTGGGTCCATAAAGAATCATCCATTAAGGATGGTTAAAGAGGTTGGAGGATGTTTTCCATGGAAATCTAGTGCTGGACTCTGAAGTAGCAGTAAAATATTCACTGTTCCAAAAAATATGTGTCAAATGACTATTAGAAGTCAGGGATACTAGCTGGGCATGGTGGTGCACACCTGTAATCTCAGCACTTGGAAGATGGAGGAGAATCAGGAGTTCAAGGTCATCCTCTGCTACATAGTTCAAGGCCAGCCTGCTTTACATAAGACCTTATCTACAAACAAACAAGAAGTCACGTATATGATTGGGTGATTAGACTTTAGTGGCCACCAAGTTAGATGATACCTTGTGCTCCTCCTGTGCTCATAGAACACCTGAGATTTCCTGGTACAGTCTGGGAAAAAAGTCACTCAGTAAACAATAAAGGCATACTGAGGAAGGGAGTGTAATCAAATGCTAAATGTACCAGGTATCCCTTGAGGGTACCTCCCAGTGGGTGACTGTTTATTTTGTGCTGACCACAGTGGACAGTAGTTATTGGTCTCCTCCTTGGGTGGTATGTTGTATTTGGTTCCCTGTTGCCAATGCCTCTACCTTGAGCTCTGTACAGGAAAGGTGATCAATAAATGCTTGCCGAATAAATCCATGGATCCTGAAATGACTCTTTTAAGAGCTGTCCTGTCCATGTCAATTGAGTTCCAACCTTTTGATATGAGACATGACACTCGAAAACCATGCAATCAAGTTACATGGGAAAAAGGTTTTTTTTTTTTTAAATAATTCTATAATGTTTTAAGTAAGTTCATGATGTTGAGGCTGCCTCTTAGCTATCCTGGGTCACACCCTCTAGAGTAATGGAATTTGCTTTTCATAGATGTTCATTAAAAACCTGGAGTGCAAAAATGAGTGGAACTTGCTTTCTTCCTTAGTAGTCTTTCTTGACTGTGTCCTTCATGCCAACAATTTTACAGGAAGCAGTATTTTCCTTAGTTATCTGAGCCTCATTCTACAACATACTAAGGAATCACCTATATAGTGTGGGAACTGGCGCTCAGGTAGATCAGTGAACTTGCTCCAAGTCTCATAGCTGGTAACTGGAGGAGGCATGATTTAAACTCTCATCTACCTGGCTCTGGGCCCTGATTGGAATCACAATGCAGTGCGTTGTATTTTTAATATCAGTTCATCTATCTACACTTTCCATTAGATGGGATGTTTCCCAAGGCAGGGTACCATATATTATCCATCTTTGAATCCCCAGCAACTGGATCAGCTTTCTCAACATATGGCCTACAGATCAGAATCATTTTGGATGCCCATGAGAGTACAAATTAAATGGACCGTGTCCTCCAGATATCCACAGATATGTCCAAATTCTAACCCCAAGTAGCTGTTCAGGGGATTTTATTTAGGTAGAGTCTTCGAAGATATAATCAAGTTGAGGATCTTGCAATGAAATCATCTTGCATTTAGAGTAGGCCTTAGTCTAATGGCTAGTGTCCTTATAAGAGAAAGGACAGAGAGTGAGAATGAGAGTGAATGGGGAAAGAGAGAGAGAGAGAGAGAGAGAGAGAGAGAGAGAGAGAGAGAGAGAGAGAGAGAGAAACACTGAGACCTAGGACTAAGGTATTGGAGGACAGACACAGAGAGGACAAACATATGAAGACTGGGAGAGATTGGAATGGCGTAGCCACCAGCCAAGGAGTGCCCACTACCTTTTTTGTTTTGGACATCTGGCCTTTCTAACTGGAAGAGTAAGTTTCTGTGGCAATTTATCACAGCAGCTACAGGAAATGAACACACCTACTGCTGGAAAGTGCTGGGAGGTATGGCCTCAAGTCTGTGTCTCACAATCTCAGCTGCCCAGGGAACCACCTGCCCACTCATTTAGCTGGCAGCGTTCCTTGTGTGTAGACTGGGCCTGGTATCCAGCCAAGGATTCAAGGAAAAGTATGGCTGGTGGCTGGTGGCATTACTAAGAGATTTGGGGACTTGGAGAGATGGTTCAGCGGTTAAGAGCACTGGCTGCTTTTGCAGAAGACTTGGGTTCAGTGCCCAGAACACATGTGGTGGCCAACAACTACCTGTAACTCAAGTTCCAGGAGATCCAATGCCCTCTTTTGGCCCCTATAGTCATTGTTTGCACTTACATACATGCAGGTAAGACACTTATATACATAAACTATTAAAAAAAAAAGTTTTGGGGATCTAGAGGAAGGACCTGGGAAAGACTTCACTGAACATTTGGTCAGGGCCAAATGGGATTTGTGAGGGGATCTTGTCTCTTCTTGGGTAAGTTCAGGTCTCTGCTCCCACTTGGGTCTTCTTGCCTGAAACCCTGTTCTGTCTTTCAGTTGGTTCCTCCACTGGTTCGGATATGATTTTCATTAAAAATGAGCCTATATCTGGGTGTGGTGGTACATACCTTTATTCCCGGCACTTGGGCAGGGGGCAAAGGCAGTTGGATCTCTGTGAGTTATAGGTCAGCCTGGTTTACATAGTGAGTTCTAGGACAGCCAGGACTATATATAATGAGACCCTGACTCAAAACAAACAAACAAAAACAACCGACAGAACTCAGGCTTATTTTCCCATTTTAAGTTTAACCAGTTGAAGTTATAGCCTCCTCTCAAGCCCTAATGTAAATACTCCTTACATGTAAAAGAGGCATGGCAGATGCTCTCATCTGGAAATTCAATGACTGGGGAGGGGAAGATGTCTCCTCATTGCCACCTGTGGTGTGCTTGCTACCTTAGAGAAACTACAAAAAATCCCCACCACCACTACCAACAAAAAACCTTGCACATAATTGGTGACTGTATTTGTGGGATTAAAAATATGGTTATCTGTATTAATTACTTTTCTGTCTCTGTGACCAAATTACCTGGCAAAGACAGCTTAAAGGAGGAAAGGTGTATTTTGGCTCACACTTTTGGAGGGTTCATTCATCATGGCAGGGAAGGCATGGTGGAACAGTGCAGTTCATATCATGGTGGGTGAAGAAGCAGAGAGAAGAGAATGTAAGCCCTTTGCTGGCTTTCTCCTTTAACCTCTTTTTATCAGTCCAGGCCCTTGCTCCATGGGATGGTGCTGCCCACATTCAGGGTGGGTGTTTCCCCCTTTAGTTAATCCGCTCTGAAAATGCTCACACAGATATGCCCGTAGTAGTGCCCCTGCCAACCTCCTCAGTGATTCTGAATGCTGTCAAACTGATAAGGTTAACTACCACATCTTGCAGCCTACAACCCTAGTATAGACTATGCCTAATTCAACCACAACATTTGGTTTTGGCTGGTTAATTGGAGAGCAATGGATCTCATTGACTTTGAGCATGTAATGTACAGTGGTTGTGAGGCAAACAGAAGACTGGGAACCCTGGGCTTCGGCCCAAAGTCCCTGCTTCTTGATAGTGAGAAGGTGAGCCAGTGTAGATAGAGTTCAGCACTGTTATCAGTTAAGGTGAAGACAGCATTAGGTTTTAGTGTTGACTCAGACTCTGAAGATATGAAGATACTTGGGGGTGAGCCTTGGCTCTGCTGCTTGCTTGGTACAAATGATCAATGTCCCAAGTCAAAGTGGTTAAACTTGGAGGGAGTTTCTTGGCTAACACTATGGATTGAATTGTGTTCCTTCAGAAGATATGTTCAAGCCCTGCCCCTCAGTGCCTGTGATCATGACTTTATTTGGAAGTAGGGTCTTTGTAGATGCAGTGAAGTTAGGATGAATTCCTACTAGATGGATTCTAACCCACTGTCTAGTGTCTTGGATTAGACACAGAGATACACAGAGGTAGGACAATGTAAAGTCACAGGGGAAGGATGACCAAGTGATGACCAAGACAGAGTTTGGAGTTGTCAGCTACAAGTCAAGGAACACCAACTAAAAGCCGATCTAGGCAAGGATGGGCCTAGATACATATTGGGGAACCCAGTCCTGCTGACACCTTGATTTGGATTTCACTCATCCAGGTCTATGAGAGAATTAATTTATATTGTTTTAAGTCACTGAGTGTTTAGTAGTTTGTTATGACTAGCCCTAGCTAATATGTCCAGT